AAAGAAACCTTAAAAAGAAAATAAAGTGAGAAGTGTTAATATTTGTCCAATTTTTTGGAAGATAGGAATGAGATAGAAACAGAGCTAATAGTTAAGAGTTTTCCAGAATTGTTGAAGAATACTAATTCTCAGACTCAGAAAACCTTGCAAGTCACAAGAAAGATTTTATATATCATCTATTATAGATATATTTACATATGTCTATTATAGATATTGTCTTGGTTACTTTTCTCTCATTGCTGAGACAAAATACCTGATGCCCAGAATTAAGGAAGGAAAGATTTATTTATGTCACAGTTTGTGGAGGTTTCAGTCCATACTTGGCTGGCTCCAAGGTAGAGTGGCACATGGCACAGGACAAGAGTTCATGGCAGTGGAAGATAGCAAAGCAACAAGAGCAAAAGGGAGGAGCAGGGGCAAGCAGCCACCTTCCCTCCCTTACATTGAGTGCAAACCATCCACCCCAGGAGAGATGTAGCACTCATACCTGTAATTTCAACAATGGAGCATAAATCAATCATAAACTCTAGAAGCCTGTCCCATGACTGCATGAGGTTTTGGGGGGACAGTCAGACAGAAACCATGACAGATATACAATAGCAGTACTTAATAATAGCAGTACTTATAATAACAGTACTTAGTAATACAAACAATAGAAAGTTCTCTTCAAATGAGGTGAGAAAATATATTATCTGAAGAGGAATAGCAGCTGGACTGATAGCTGTTTGTCTCAACAGACACAATGTCAGCAAACATTAGAATGATTCCTCCAATTTGCTGAAAGAAAATAAGTCTCAAACTAGAATCCCAGAGTTAATGAATTATCTCTTTAGAACAAAGGGAAAAAACAAGGACTTTTCTCAGATTTATTAAAAAAAAAAAAAAACAAGATAAAACAGATGTGTTACTTTTTGTCTTATAGACCTCGCTAAAGAAAAGGTCTAAATTATTTATTTTAAGCAGAAAGCATTCAGGTATGAGAGAGTGAAAATATACATTGTTAAGTAAGTGAGTAGATGTGAATCAGTTGTTCCCACCCAGGAGCGATACTGGTCCCCTCAAGGGGACATCTGACAATGCCTGGGAACGTGACTGTGACAATTCAAGGAAAGGTGGCGCTACCAGCATCTTTACAGAGGCCCCTCAGTGTGTGGAACAGGCAGGCACATAGCAAAGAACGCCCGGCTCAGTGTCTGCGCTGCTGAGGTTGAGAAATGCTGGTATAGATTAATACAACACAGTGTTGACAGCAATTGGTCTTGTGGGGTTAGGACCAGGATACACTACCGAAGGGTATTTAAAGACCTCGGTATAATATGGAAAGAAGGAAGCGATCCTGATTAACTGTATGCTTTGTAAGTTATGTGATCATATTCAAATATTATAAGTGCCTAGTCAGTGAACACATCTCAGAAGTTCTATTCTCTAACCGAGCGTATGAGGATGTGAAGTGAGAATAAGAAGAAAAACAATAAATAGGAAATGAGAAAGGAGAAATAAAACTAAAAATGTGAAAAGAAGAATAAGCACCGTGGCAGAAATCAATATACCAGTATTTCTCCAAAATAACTATGGGGAAATTAAAACTTAAGTCTAGAAAGAAAAAGAATTCCAGCTAAATGCTCTTTATAAGAGATATGAAACATTAGGACCCAGAACCAGTAAAAGCTAAAGAATAAGAGATATATAAAGCAAATACTATCTTCCAAAAAAAGAGCTTCTGTAGCTATTTTGATGTGATTAAAAGAAAAGGTCACTGCATAGTAATAAAAAAAATTCAACACAACTTGAAATTAATTCTAAACTTCATCACACTTAGCAATATAGTTTTTAAAATATTCCTTAAATCAGCAAAACTACAAGGAAATTGAAATGTCAGTCAATTTTTAATGTACCTCTCTCAGACAGAACAAAAGTTAAATCAGCAATGTCATCAGAAGGCTTGAAAAAACATTTATAGAATAGTGTACCACATTTGGGGGCGAGTTGATTTTCCTGCACAATTTGAATATTTAAAAAATAATTAATCACACAGTGCCATAAGCCACAACAAATCACTAAAGAATTTTCATCACAATCTATTTTTATTTCCCACAGTGAAAAATAATGTAAGAAACAATTACAAAAAAGTAGCTTGTATAAGTCTGGACAGTTGGAAATTTTTAACTACCTTGTGGATCAAAGTACAAAACACAAATGGAAACTAGAAAAATGAATGTTAAACAATTGTGGAATTAAGAAAAAATAATACCTAGAGGAAAAATTTTACATAGAGTAATATAGAAAGAGAAGAAAAAACAGTAAAAATTGAGAAGTTAAAAAAGACAAAAATGAATCCAAAGAAAACAAAGCATAGGAGAAGAACATAATGAAATAGAAAAAAAAAAAAAAACAAGGTAGATTTGACAAAACTGAAAGCTGGTCCTTCACAAAACAAACTCTTAAAATTGACAAAATTCTGGCAATATCAGTCAAGAAAAAAGAAGCAAAGCCTAAAGTTAACAATATTAGGAATTAAAATGAGGATATATCCACAGACAGTGCAAAAAATAACAAGAGATATGGACAACTTTATGCCAATGAATATTAAATTTTCAGTGAAAATTTAATAACTTACTAAAGAAACACAAACCACAAAAACCAAATCATGAAGAAATGTGAAAGTGGATAATACCATAAAAATGGAAAAAATTGAATTATTAGATAAATGTCCTTCCAAAATGAAAACATCAGGCATATGAAACTTTACAAGAAAGTTTCTCCCAACATCCAGACAACAGATTATTATAATCACATGCAAATTCTTTCAAGGATGACAAAAGAGGAAACTCTCCCCGGTGCATTGTGTGAGGCTAATATGCTTGGAAAATCAAAATAAATAATAGTAGCACAAAAATGGAATTGCACGGATAGATCTCAGTCATACATACAAACAGAAAAATTCTAGGCAAAATATTAGCATCCAAATCTAGCAACACATAAAAAATGTAATATCTCCTGACTAAGTAGGGTTTTCCCAGACATGCAAAGGTGATTCAGTATTAGAAAATCTATTAATATAAGCTACCATATTAATAGATTAGAGGAGGAAACAATATGACTAATTCAATAGATGGAGAAAATGGACTTGATAAAACTTGGTCCGACGTCTTGTCATTGGACTAAGTTTTAGATTCTGTATTGCTTGCATTGTTTTTGTGTTATTTTCTCATGTTTGTTAAGATGTTTTCATTGTTGTT